GTCGAGCAGCGCCCGCTCGGTGTTGCCGAAGGCGACAAAAGCCCCCTTCCAGCCGAGCCGATCGCCACCCTTGCACGTAAGCGAGCTCGTGAGTTTCAAGTCGCCAACGAGGCGCACATGCCCTTTGCCGATGTTCGCCGCCGCCACGTCAGGTTGTTTTGGGTTACTGTAACTGAGGTGTGCAGTCGGCTCTATCTCGATGAGCATGCCCCACGCCGAGCGAAGGGTCTTGACGAGTCGTTTGAGCAGGTATTTGTGTCGTGTCGCGTGCTTCGCACGCGGGTTGACCATTGCGGCATCGCCGAGTTCTTCGTGCGGCTTGCCGTTTGGCGCCTTCTTGCCCGCCTCCACCGCCTGGCAGGCAACATCGAGCGGGAGGCCGAGGCGGCGCTGAACTGTAATGCGCATCGCCCACGTCTCCATCTTCATATCATCCCGCATGGGGATCGCATTCAGGAAGGCGCCAGCCCCCTCCTGGCTGACTGCGACGAACCGAATCGCCTCGCGCCAGCACTTGTGGTTCTTGCACCTGCCAGTCTTGTAGCGGCCGCCCCGCCGGGATGCCTCGCTGACGAAGGCTTCGGCGAGGGCGAGCCAGTTGCGATGGTGTACGCCGACGGTGTACCGCCGCTGCGCCTGCTGTAAGAACTCGCTGGTAGACGAGAACTCCGGAAGAGGCAGCAGCTCCGCCGCCGGCGTAAGCTTGGGCGGGTGGTAGCGGCGCCGTCCCACCGCCTTGGTCTCCTTGAAGGGCCCGACGACGTCTTGGTATAGCGTGCGCCCGTCCCACTCGCGCCAGGTCTTGCCGACCGCGTCGCGAAGGGCGCGGAGGCGTTTGTGAGCCTCCCGAAGCTCGTCGAAGCGCTCTCCCGGCGCGAGGGCCACGTCGAGGTCGCGGAATGGCTCGTGCAGCTCACGTATCGGCCGCGTGACGAGGGCCCACGTGCCGACCCACGCCGCCTCACGGATGTCCATGGCACTGGTCAGGCCCATACCGCCCATCCTGACCGGAAGTCGGGCCTGCTGAACAGCGACCCGCCACCGTGGGCTGTTGCGGAAGAAAAGAAGTTCCGCATGGTGGCCGCGCTGCGCCGCTCGCCGCTGGCGCGCGGTTGATCGCGGCGCCGACTCCGCGGCGGCGCCATCTCACGCAGCGGGGCGCGTCGCGTCGTCGGCGCCAAAACAGACGCGAGCTCGCGGCGCGGCCGCGGCAGCAAAAGCATCAACCGTCTACTTCTCCTTCTCATCTCGTCTTGTCGCAGGCGCACACGCGCGCGACGTGCGCTCGTATCGCCGCGTTCGCTCCGCGAAGGACGACTCGAACCGGGAGCCAGTCGGCGCAGCGGCGGCACGCGGCGGCAAAACGCACGACGCTCACCTCATGGAGATGCTGCGGCTTTGGCACCTCCTGATATAATGCTGATTTTTTGCTGAGCGGGGCGGAGGCACGCGGGCGGCGGAGGCGGCGGCGGACGACGTCTACTTCCCCTGTGGTAGCTTAGCGATCAGGGAGGATCTACCTGTTCGGCCTCGAGGAAGCTGCTGGGGGAGAGGGGGGGAGAGAGGAGAGGAGGAGAGGGGAGAGGATGAGAAGAGGAGAGGAGAGGAGAGGAGAGAGGAGTAGAGATGGAGAGAGGAGGAGGAGGAGAGGAGAGGAGAGGGGGGGGTGAGAGGGAGGGAGGGAGGGAGGGAGAGAGGGAGGAGAGAGAGAGAGGAGAGCCTTTGAGCCTTGGCACCAGCCAGGCAGTTGATTTGGCCCTGGCACCAGCCTTGGCAGTTGAGTTGGCCTTGGCACCAGCCTTGGCGGGCGGGCACGCGGGACATGCACAGGCGCCAAGGGGCGCGGCGCCGACAATCACGGCGGTGATTGCGGCGCAGGTGGGGGGACGGGAAGTCCGTCGGCGTTGCCGGGGGCCCAAGGAAGCGCGAGGGAAAAATTCCGCCGCTGAGGGCGCTCGTGCGGCAATAGCCGGGTGGAGGGGGGAGCGTGCCGGACGGGGCGTCGTCGCGCCGTCAGATGGTCTGCTGCCCCGCGCAGCAACCGTCGGGCGACGACCCGGGGGCCAAAAACCCGGCGACGACGACGCTCTGGATGGGGCGTGACCTCCTGCCTCCAACCTCCTTCCTTTTTGAGC